GGAAGGGACAACACAAGAATAAGGCTTGTTTATTCCATGTCTCTTGATGACAGAAGCAGTTGCTACGGCCCCTGCAACTTTCAGTACCAAAATTGAAATGCTGAATAGCGTTGGATGCTCAGAACACCCAAGGACAATGGCGGGTCAGCCCATAATTTAAATACAAATGTTTCTGACAAGCCAACAGCATTGGTTTGCTGAGGAGCTGAAAAAAAAAAACCCCTCAAAAAGAATCCTACCCTCCCTAAATGTTTCAGACTGACTCATTTCTGACTGAGAAAGCATAGTCACTAATTATTGCAGGGGAATGTGCGTATGCACCCTTCCAAAAATTGATATGGCTGCTGAATTTCACATCCTACTCATCTCCCGGCAGATTTCTCAGTACAAATACTTACATAAAAAAAAACCAAAAAAAAAAAAACAACCTTCCCGAGTTGCATCTGAATGATGTAAGTGTTGTGCAGAAATAAAGGATTATTTAAAAGCAGACTGAGGTTAAACTATTCCTTTTTGAGGATGCCAAGCCAAGAGTTGTTGTGACCACCCTTGAGGTTACACAGCAATTCAGATATTCTAGAAATCATTTTGTTATCTTTCATATGGTAATGATCATCCTTTTTTTCTTCTTTTTCCCCCTTTACCTCTTTCTATTTAGGGAAGGAAGGACTTTTAAATAAGTCCTTTGTGAGGGCTCCCTTCGCCCTCTCTTGGTACAATCACTTTGCCACACCAGACGTCAGGTAAGCCCCGACCCCTCCCCTGTGTCTCCCAGCAGCCTGTCTTAAACATTTAAGACAATGTTTTCAGGGCAAGATTTTATTTATTTCAGATCCTGTGCATCTCAAACAAACTGCAGACTTCAGATGCCGGGATATTGCTTCTTCCACATCTTGCTGTTCTTTCCCACTGATCCACTAGTGAGTGGGCTACATATTTTTTTCTGCTCCTGTAAGACAACATGTTTTACACCATTTCACATGCAAATGCTGAAAAAAATGCCTTCTATTTCAGTGCTCCCCATCATTTTTCGCACAGAATAAACATGGACCTATTTTTAGAAAGATCCTTTTAATCTGGGTGGATGAATTAGATGCTTTACCTGTTTTTCTGATTCAGTAAGTACAATCACTGAATTTTGATGCATCTCTTAATTTACTGTATGAGATAAATGAAGGAATTAAGACTTTTGATGGGTAGCTGCAGTTTCCAATCATGGGGAGAGCCAGATATACTCCAGAGTTTGTGACCGTCTCACAAGCTACCATGCTACTCTTTTTTAATAAAATATAAAGGGGTTTGGATGATATTCTACCCCCAATTAAACCTTGAATTACCCATTTACCACAGGCCTCAGAGGTGGTAAGGTTTAACCTCCAAAGAACAAACCTTATTGCATCTGAAAACTCCCAACATGATACATAAATATCCCCTATATCCTGCACAGCAACAGCACTTTCCTTCATCCTTTCCACCCCCTCCTCTCTCCTTTGCTACCACTTTCTTCTCCATTTGAATGGTCTAGTTTTCCTTTTGATAGCTAAGTACCTTATCTCACCTCAGTAACAAGCACACCACAATACATAATACCTTGCTCATTTTGGCATTTTCTCCCCCTCCTTTTTTTAATACAGAGAAGATTCTTTTAATCATCTCATACCTTTCTTTATTTGACCACTGCTCTCGCATGACCTTCAATTTCTCATTTCGAAGATACAAAGTGTGGCAGGCGACCCTGTTCCCAGAGTCCTGATCCTGTGGTACAACAGGAGAGGCAACGTGCTGCGATAAAACCATCTACTGGCGAGCAAGCCACAAACTTCAACCCAGACTCCCTGAGATTTAATCCAAAGCCCTTCACCAGTGCCAGAAGTGAGTTTTAAGGAAAATATGTCTTGTAAGACTTAACCAGTTGCTTGGGAAAGCTTCAGCTCCGCCATGTGTGTGAAAACCGCACGTGGGACTGAGAACTCGAGAAGTCGCCTCGGGTCCTGGCACTGCAAGAATAAAAATTGCACTCAGAAGAGCGCAGGGGAAAAAGCAGCCTGGCTGAAAACGGATCTGTGTTAATGTGTAACATACATGAGGTGCAGAAATCTGTGTGAATACTCCTCTCCAAGAGGCTCTCCAGGCATTTTGACTTCCGATACTTCATCTCCTCTGTGAATTCGTGGAATTTGCACGAACGAGTTGACAGCACGTTAAAAATAGACACAGCTTTATTGGCCAGATTTAAACCTTATTAAATGTGCATATTAAATGTTAGCAGAATGCAAGGTTTAAAAAATTTACTCCAACATTAGTGTATTAGATACATCAGCAACATACTTAGCAGACAAAAATGCCACTAGGATTACATGACAGTACAAGTCAAACAAGAAGCACATGTAAAAAAGTCAGCAGTACAGTTAGAAAGTCCATCTATTTTCACTCCATTCTGTAGCCTCAAACTGATAACATTGCATAAAAAAAGTAAAAGCATAGTAAGAACATTCTCTATTAAAAAAACAGTATAGTGTCTCATAGTAGCACTCTTCTCTTGCAGTCCTTTGCTTAGAACATACCACACTAAATCTTTCCCAGGTAAAAAACCCCAAATTTTAAGTGGAAAAAAAAAATAAATCCCTGATTGTATTACAGCTGAAAGGCAATTTTTGGGTTTCTAACTCATTCTAATGAGGCAATCTATTGTTGCTTAAATTACAGTCGTTCCAACTCAGAACTCTCTTCACTTTGCTTAAAGAACACTTTTAGGTACCAAAACCCATCAAAATGAAATATTCCATTATTAAGAATCAGCACATCTCCAAACTGAACTGGCCATTTTTGTAACTTTTGTCACTTTTTTTCCAAGAGCTTCAGGAAATGTATGTGAACCGTTATAAACCTAACCATCTGTAGTTAGAATACTGCTTAATGACAGGTGAAGGCAAAATATTATGTAAAGGCTTATTTTGTTATGTGATGTTAGCTCTTAATACGACAACAAATTCCCTTTTCAACAGTTTCTGTATAAGAAAAAGTAATAACATGAACCATCATGACATATTTTTAAGATATATATGTATCTTTTTAAATGAGCTGATCCCAGATTTTGTTCACCTTCTACAGTATGATACAACACATGCAACACATCTGTTTGAGTTGCATTAAATAGCAAGTGGTCTCAAAAAAAAAAAAAGTTTGAAAGAAGCACAGAGTAGGGGTCAAAACATAATTCCCGTTCACGGTCTGCATATCCATGCTGTGTCCCAAAGGTTTTCCTCCATCTTGCTTTTAAAAAGCATCGTTCGCTCACAACACACCTATTTTGCTGACATTTTTTCACGTGTAGTTTATTAGGACACTTTATTACCTGAAGAAGATGATGTTCCATAAGCAGAAACAGCGCACCTAATGCTGAATTTTCAGATCCGTTTGCAGCTTCAATCAGATTGTACGTTTTGCATAGAAATATCCTTTAGCATCTCGTCACCTTTCCTGTTTGAAGCAACTGTTTGCACTGCTAACAGTAGCAAAACCATGACATCTAAATTAAGCAGTTCAATTAACAGCATATGTGCAAGAAGCAGCACAGTGCTTTCATTGTGCAAATTGTGGTGCTGGATATGTAATCATGGCGAATGATACTCTTCTTTGGCTTACACACTAAGCAGCAGAGCTAATTTATTTACACATGCATTCCTCTAATAAATCCACTACGAAGATATCTGAATATTCAAGAACATGGTCAGTTCATGATGGACATGAATTGCCAGCATGCTTGATTGCTCAAGCAAACTCAGAGTACGAGGGTGAATAACTTATAGTAACGAGAAATGTACATCTGCATCATCTCCTTGACTGGCAGCCAAACCATGTGATGTTTGCTCGAGGTAGGCACTTAAATATTAAGCCTTTTGCTAATAACAACAGCTCCACTCAGGACACTGATTTAAAACTGTTACAACATTAGGGATACTCACCAAGAAAACAACATACCTTAAGCTGTGGTACCAGTAAACAGTACATGATTGGGCTGATGTGGAACACAAACCTCCTTTTTTTTTTTTTTTTTTTTTTTTTTTTTTTTTTTTTTTTTTTTTTTTTTTTTTTTTTTTTTTTTTTTTTGTGTATACTTGCAAGGAAGTATAAATTTCAAAGTGCAAATAGAGTAAAGTTTTCTAATCTCGTCTACCCTGTGCACTTCAGCCTGAGAGAACTCAGCTAACCAAGCCACCAAGGCGTGAAGTGCTCTCTGGATCAGTTCACGTGGCACTGAGGCAGGAGTGGGCCAAGGCAGGCGTGGTTTGGCTAACACTGAACAAGCTCAGTCTGCAGGTTCACAGATGCCTGCAAAGCACCCTCTGGAAATAGGCACTGCCCAACAGAGATAATTTTCACACCTTTTGCCAAATGCAGAGAAACAAGGCACTAAGCATGGAAGCGTTGATATGTTTTAAATATACAGCAAAATGATAAAAATGCCTAAAATGCTTCAAATTAGAAAAAGAGGGCACATTCATAAACAGCTGGAAGCTACTTTGCACAAGTAGTTATTATATATTTATAAATTCGGTCATGTTGTAGAAAAGCCCCATAACAAAACAAATACCCTTCTTAAAGATTCAAAATTAAAAAAAAAAAAAAAACAAAAAACAAAAAGAAAAGAAGCACCCCCAAACCCCAAGCTCCTATGTATAGGGACAATCACAGCATAAGCATAGATTATCTGGTCTGCTTAAAATCTTTTGGATAAAAGTCCAAGAACAAACCATCCAGCTGGATCAATTAGTGTGGTGGCCCAGCTCCAAATCCACTGCCCTGTGCAGTCACACCCCACAGGATGCACCGAGTACAGACACACAGCTTTAGCTCTTTGCTGGCATTCACAGAGAATCCAAACAAATAAATAAATAAAGGAGCAGCTTTGGCCAAAACTGGCAAACATAGTCTTCCAAAAATGGCAGTTTTTGAGACTGAGAGATATAATAACTGTACTTCTCCACATTGAATACGTATTTTCAAGAGCCACTGCAATTAGATGATTCCACAATACCTACATTTAAAGAGTAAACTCTTTGGCAAATTATATCTTTATAAAAATAAATTATGGCTTTTTGTTTACTTCACTAGTACGTATCAACTGAATTCTGTGCCTATATATAATTCCAAGTGGAATTAAGCCAACTTTAAAAATCAATTCCTTCTACAAAGTATATAGAAGTTCAAAGCTGCAAACCAATGTTTCATAAGACATAGTGGATATAAAAAAAAAAAAAAAAAAGCCCCAAATCAGCCCCTTGTATCAGGAGTGTCCTCCTATTTAAATGATCACATAACAAAATAATAATTCTCAGCATTTTCCACAGAGCAGTCCTCTGTGATATCCCTTTCATTCAGCCTGGAACTTTGCAGTTAGCAACAGGGGGAGGGCTTGGTGGTAATGACCTTATCATATCCTGTGAGCCCTTTGAAGGTAACAATCCCCATACCAGGTGTCCAAATTCTGGGATTACAAGATTACAGTTCTTTAGTCAAAGTCATGGGCAAATAAAAACCAGTGCTGAAGTCAAACAGTTGATTTCCTAAACCTTGAAAGCTCAGTAAAGCTTTTAAAGAAAAGCCTAAAATCTTTGGACTGAAAGCAAAGGATTGAACCCTCCTACAGCTTTCAGCAGGATGCATACTGAGCAGACCACAGATTACAAAAAAACAAAGCTAAAATGAGCTGAATCCCAAACAGTTGGTTTCAGGGCTACATTGCTCTGGATAGCTCCATTCTCCCTTCCGTGGCGATGAACTCTTTCTCCGTGGCTCGTTTATCACCCTGGCACAGTCTCTCCTTCAGTTTTTCGAGTTCATACTCATGCAGGATTTTTTGTGTTAAATACTTCTCCCGTTTTATTCTGGCTTTCACATCTGCAGGGACATCAGGAATCATCCAGGCTACAAAGAATTTGACGATGAACACAACATGCTAAAAAATAAGGAAAAAAAAAGAAGGAATAAGTCATTGCCAAATGAAACACCTCTTGTTTTATCTAACACCAAGTATAGGTCACTTTCTCCTCACAAAGACAACACATTTCATTTGGCTGTCCTGGAACAATAAATAATACCAAGCTAATGTGTATCTAAATAAAACGCACCCTTTTATGCAGAAATTTTCATTCCCAACCATTAATGACTTAGCCAACCCAAGAGGGAAGTGTCAGGGTCTGAATCTCTAAATCCCCTGTGTGGTTTGTTAGAAAAGTTCACACAGCCATGCTGATAACACTCTCAGCTACTGAGAGCTGATAAAGCACAGCAGGAAAAGTGATGAGAAGAGCACTTTAACTACTCCCTTTTCCCTTCATAACTTGCTCAACAGTGGCTTAACACTGAAGTGCCAGTTACCCAAACCACTGATTCAGCTATTTTTAGCCAATGTACATCACTGCAAAACGATGTATGAAATCATACATTATTTCATGTGAAATCCAGACAAGGATTTTGTGAAAGCCAGACAAGTGGAAGTGCCGGTCCTGGCGGTTCACATCTCTTCCACCAACATAAAGACCTTTTTTTTTTTTTTTTTGCTGGGGATTCTGATCAACATTAGCAGTCTCCTCAGCTGTCTTCACTGCTCCTAATCTGAGGTTAACTTGAAGCTGAAAGGCCTAATAATAGTAATCATTTAGGACATGAGTACTTGGTATTACTTAGAGAAAAAATTATTTCATAATAACCATCTAAGTAATCTATAAGGTACCAATTTCAGAAGGAAATTTTGCAGGCAACATACCTCCATAATGATTATAAAGGCCAGCTTTGCAGCAAGAATGTGCCAGAACTGCATACTGTGCAAGTATTTCCTCTCATGATCTGGAGGATATCGATAGTCTCTGTACCTGTTGGAATGACAGACATGCAAAGGTGAAATGTCAGTCAGCCTGGGACAGACTACAAGCTCAGTGACACTTACAAGCAAATACAGTTGTCACTTAAGGAACCTTTTCTTGTTTTAAATGGTCTGTTTCCTTTTGCAGAAAAAGGTTACCCTCTCAAATTTGTTCCTATCAGATGTTTGCCTAAACACCCTCACATTCGCAGCAACAGAGCAGGGCACGGGATGTGCGACGTGTGAGATCTGGCACACGGGTTACTTGTTTTTCAGGCAGTGATCAAATAATACAGGGCAGAGTGATGGGATGTATCACATGGTAATGGACATGTATTTGAATAAATGTGACAGGCTGGGGACTGGACAGATGCAAGGTTTCACGGAAGGACAGTCTGAGTAAGTGTTCTACACCATCACACAAACAGTGATTCTTTTTTTTTTTGTTATTGGTTTGATCTCTTACACCTCAAGCATTACCTTGTTGATAGCCTAAATATTACCTCTCACACTTTAGAACGATCACAATGACATAATTTAACTTCTAATGGACTATTTTGATTTGCCCTGGTTTTTTATGCTGTATTCTAAACGAAGTGATAAATTATTTATTATTACACCGACCTGCATATGACGAAGTTTTCTGGATTCTCTTTAGGTTTGTTTCTGTCAGGAAAATCTGAGATTAGAAACACTGACAGACTGTTGTTTATGTACCCAGACATAGGTGAGTCTTCATCTTCATAATAAGCATAGTAGTAAACTAAACGAGGGATCATATCTGATGTGAATGCCACAATAAAAGCCTGAAAAGAAATAGGAAAAAGAAATTAGGAAAGCGGCACAAAAAAAGCTGTGAGCAGATTCATAAAGGGGTTGTAGTTCTGTCACCCTGGAACTACCCTGAATATTTTAAGGAAGGGTAAGAAGCACAATTAGGGCACTTGGTAAGAGATGCTGAGTGAAGCCTCAGCACATTTTGCCTCAAAACTTGAGATACTGGAAGTGCTGAGGTGTCTTTGCTACTAAAGCAATAACTGCAAGTGGATTTGTTGCCTAAAACACACTCAAAAGAGGCATTTCTTTTGCTCAGCAGTCTCTTTACAGTATGCTTTAGGTGAAATACTGGCACAGTTTCCCATTTATGAAGTGGAGCCACAGGGAAATCCAGAAGCACCTGAATGAGAATTCCCACAGAACAGGCCTCCTAGTGACAAGGATAGAAGTGCATCTGACCCACAGAATTCATCCACCTTTCCTGTCCCCTACAGTCCCCCCTGGGCAATCAGTGTGCTTCATCAGGCTAAGCCTCTGACTGGCCTTTGCCATTCCAAAAGGCTGGAAAACACAGACAGCTGAATGAAAGATCACGGTCCAAGGAAACGCGGATTGGGAGCTGCCTGTTGCCAGCGCAAGGAGAAGCCGAACCACCTCGAATGGTTTGATGATATCACTGTAGGGGAACGTGACACAGTGCTGACGAAGGACGAAAAGCATCAGCCGGTTTTTAATTCCTCACATTCTGAATTACTGAATTTCACATGGAAGAACCAGCGCTGACGTAGCACAGTTAACATACTCACATTAGTGACAACGGACAGGATGGCCATTCCATTCAGGATTTCCTGCCAGACCCCTATGCTGTGTGCTTTGGCAGCCACAGGTCTCCTGTACTGGGTGGTTAATTTCCAGGAGTCCACTCGAATCTCCAGGATATTATTCATCAGGGCAAGAAGGGGAGCCAGGGGAAAGGATGCCACGAAGAGGGTGATGAATCCAAACTGAATGACTGCAAGGGAAAAAAGGAAAAGTGTCAAAATCTGCCCCTACAGAAGGGGCACCTCAGCTCAGGGTGATGAGGGACTGCCAGTCACAGACAAATGGAAAACTTCTGCCAGCAGTGCTGGATGTCACTTCTTGTATGAGTGATGTGTAACTGTTGGGCAACTGGGATGAACTCATACATCAAATTTCTGAGTTATGAGAGCACAACAAGCTAGTTTTCCTCTCCTGCAGTTTGTACAGAGCAATCCTGTTTTCCTTTTACTTATTAACTATACTCCTAACTGAAAAAGAGGAAATACTTTTATCACAACCTTACCTCCACCTAACTGGTAATGGTTTAGTTAAAACTTTCATACCAATTCTGCATGCAATAGTTCCACTGGAGAGTCTTAACATTAGTTTAAGAACTGCAAATAAAATACACAAATGATCCTTTCAGACAGTACCAAAATTAAATATCTCAGTGCAGAGCCAATACCGCCACTGTATTTCAAAAACAGGAATTAGAGTATTTTTTCTGGTTTAGGCAGTGGATAAAAATACATTCCCATCCACCAGTCATCAGCTCTTCCATGATTTCGGTGATGAGTTCTTCACCTTAGACAAGCAACAAAATTCCTATTAGCTTAGCAGCCCCAGGACAACGCTGGAGCACATGGGTTCAGTTGATTCTCGAAGAGCAAGGGCATGGCTGACAACACTGATTCCAAATGTATTAATTTCACAAGATCCCAGCGTTGTATGAAATTAGTTAAGTGACAATAACAACTCTAAACATCCCCAGAACACTTATTTCTGCGGAAATCAAATCACACAAAGGTCCACTTTTCAACAAAACGTGTCCTCGTAATAGAGGAATATTAACTTTTTCGAAGTGCCTTTTAGACTGAGCTTGGCTTCAGTTTTAGTTTTAGTTTCTCAGGTTTTTGTAAACCAATGTCACACACTGAGGTGCTCACCTTACCTTTGGAAAGCCCTGCTCCATTACCCAGGCTCCCTCTGCTGGGCTGTTGGGGAGCGCTGATCAGTGCAAACCTAACGCTGAAGGGATTCTCCCTGAGCCAGTTCACAGATCTCATGTCTGCAGCACCCATCCTTGCAGCATATCTGGCACTCGTCCCATGCTTAAAATTTCCACTGACATCAGCTAAGAATACGCTTTGGAACAAGAACAGAACGGACACGGAGGCAGCTGGGCTGCACTGAGAATAATGTTCCCTGTTCAAATGAGGGAAACAAACAGTCTTTGCGGTGTTTCTGCGAAATTCCCTGCAGTTCAAGATGCAAAGACAGCTTTTTTTCTTTTTTTTTCTTTTTTTTTTTTTTTTAATTAGGCTGACCTATTTAATGATTTCCAGCAGCTAAGCAGATGAATCAACCCGTAACAATTAATCAAGAAGATATTTTTTTTGAAAGTGTCAGTACAAGGTGTCTTGTCCTCAATTCCAAACACGTAATTTTAAACTTACCCATTTCTAAGTATTCATAGAACAGGCCTAAGGCTCCAAATGTCTGCAGGTCATGGTCTTGCTCCCAGCGACTGTACAAATTTTCGGGATTATTTCTGGCTTTCCGACGACCCCACCAGTTACAAATCCAGCTGCACATGCAGAGAAAAGTTAACAGTGAGTGGGGCAGATCAGATTAGCTCAGTTGGTAAGAGCACCGGGCTAATAACAATGAGTTCATGGGTTTGATCCCTGTTTGGGCCAGTGTCCAAGAGCTGGACACTGATGATCCATGTGGGTCCCTTCCAGCTCAGAATATTTTGTGAAATCTGTGAAGTCTTCGCTTTCTCTGAGCAAGCAATGTGCTTTCACAGGAAGAGGCCAAAAGCCTCTAAGAAATTAGTCTACTCATCAGAATTTGTGCCCAATTTACACAATTCCTAATTTCTTCATATGGCAATACTTGTTACCACTCCTTCCAAGAACTTCCTCTGGCTATACAAGATGAGCATCTCAGGGGAAGAGAGAACTTACGGTACAAAGGCCTCTTGGATGTTCCCCCAGATCTGTTTGCCAGCCATGACTATGGTGAGCTGTGTCGTCAGTTCTATCAGACAGCCCGCGGGGTCACACTGGGGGAGACAAACCGGGGGTTAAAGGACACGAGTAAGGGGCACTGCCCAGAGAAACCATATCCTGCTACTGCACAAATGAAAGAAAAGGAGTTTCTCAAACTTGTTAGGACGACACCGAATTTCCAGCTGGGCTGCCAGGCGAGCTCCCCTCTCAGGAAGGCTCTTGCAGAAGGGCTTTCAGCGCTCAGAAGCGTGTGATAAAACACACGCGCCAAAACACAACCACCATCTGAAGACAGAGTAACTCAGAGAGGCTTCAGCAGCAGAATCTGTGTGTGGCTCCCACCCCTCAACCCCAGTAAGGCAAATCTGTGGCTCTCAGTGAGCTCTCAGCACCAGACCTTCTTTTATTTTAAAGAGCTAAGGCGAGGCCCACTGGTATTTCAGGAGAACTGGGGCCAAGGAAAGCTTTTTGATTTTCCACTCTGGGGACTGACAGGTTTTCCCTGCTGGTGTTCTCCCGACTAGCAACAGCAGGAAGAGTCCTTGGAAGCCCCACCATCAGCCTCAGGATGGCCAGCTGAGGTCCAGCTCAGTTCACACCAACCCTGCAGCTGGAAATTCATGACTGCACTGAAGGGCTGAAGGGAACAATCCACCTTAATTAGGGAAGTCTCACCTCTTCATTTCTCCAGCGATTGAACATGTATGTGTAGGCACCTGGGTAACCAACAAACTTCCCTTTGAAGAAGGCCACGTAGAAGCAGGATGAATAGTAGTTGACAAACTGGAACAAAAACATTTTCATAGTGAGCCTGTTCTCATACTCCATGTGAGTTCTGGGGATCTCTGCGAAACCAAAAAAAAAACAGCAATTTTATTCTCCTTTATTCCCTTTTAAAACGATACAGATTCATAAATATTCGTCATGCACTAGTGATGCGAAAGGAAAACAAAAAAAAAAGGAAAACACCTACAAATATTTCATCAGATGAAGCTCCTGCTCTGACACCCTACCCTTAACTTATAATGCAATGTGAGGAGCAGGTAGGTAAAGGAAATTCACACTTTAAACTTTTATTAGCTTTAATTTCCACTTCTTTGTACTGTCTACTGGCACTTGTTCATTCCCAAATATTAGACTATTTTAGGAGATCCAAGATGACTTACAAACAGTAACTAGCAGGGCCTCCTGAAGGATGAGAACTAGCACTATTAGCAATGAGAACTTCACTTTTTTTTAATCTGTAGTAGAGAAGTATGTTACAGTGGTTTTTTTTTAACAAAATGCTGTATGTTAACATCGAGATGAGCAGAAACTGGATGTGCCTCTGAAAGATGAGTCTCATAATGGGGAGAAGAACAAGGAAGGTTTAAAAACATAAATGTGATGTATTTTCACTGAGCTGTTCATATTATTGATGCCAGGCACACAAAACCTTCAGAGCAACAGAGGCAGGTTGTCCCTGCAGGTCTGAACACCAGATCTGGCCTAACCTTTCCCAAGGGAGTTCCAGGGTGAAGAAGTTCTGCCCAGACACTCCTGGCAGCCCGGGCTGGGCGCAGCCACCTCGGCCGCCCGAGGAGGGCAGCAGCCCCACACAAGTGAACTGCTGCTTTCCCCCTGAAACCCACAAACACAGACAGTGCTGACACTCCAGAAATTATTCCACCACACTTGCAACTGGCAAAATAACACCACAGAGCCTTCATGCCTATGATTCTTGTGCCCCGAGAAAGGAAGGTTAAAAAAAAAATTATGATTTTTCTCTTTGTTTCTGTGTTTGCTATGGGCAATTGCACTTGTTACTTGTTCTGTTTCAGCTTGGTCTGATTTGGCCAAATGAGATAAGCCATACAGATCGTAGAGACAAGAGATGGTCCCTGATAAATCAAAAGAAACCAAATGAAACACCCCTTTAAGTTTCTGCAAGAAACACCTTTTCAATTCTTAACATCACTTGCAAATCACCCAACTGTTTTTATGACAGGTGTACAAACTACAAGCACCTAGTATTTTCAGCTCTCCCCCCCAAGCTGAGTATTCTACATTTTTTTTTCTTTCTATAAAACACCTGCAGGGACTTCTACAGCTAAATCATTAAGGACAAATCAAATCAAATCAAATATGTAAGGAGGGCTCTAGGGAAGGGTATTTCCAGCATGCAAAAATATTCTGCTACAGAAGTATTTGACCTTTCTGGGCCTGCCTGCCTGCTGGCTCCTCCAGCTCTGCAGGACATGCTGCAGCCACAGTGACACATCTTGGGCACAGCTTCTCATCCTGCTCAACCTCTGCCTTCCACCTGTGCAACTCCAAATCTGAACAGACAGAGCCAAGGGAAGCAGCGCTCAGGAAAAAATGACAAATGTGCTGTCCTATCCTATCCCCCACCTTCCTTTCTTTCCCCCCTCAAACTAAGAGGCATGATTATTTAGTCTTTTTTCACTTGTAAAGATGGTTGTGATGTGTTTTTAGAAACACATCTACAGGATTTCTAATTGAAATGCTGCTAGATCAACACAGTCTGATCTTGCTTTGGTGACTCTAATATAACACAAGGTAATTATGCTCAGATCTGTGATTGCCTCTGTGGACCAGTTTTAATCTAAGCAAACATTATACAAAGAGAAATCAGGTTATGAGAACTACTGAGGTGGAGGGAAGATGTTCAGTATGGCAGAGTCACTGCTGCAAGCTGCTGCAAGCAGCTTTCCAGCTACAGTGCTCCCACTGTGCCCGAGCTAAGAACAACGACGGGTTCCACCTTCCAAAGCTTCGTCTTCCAGTACCCCTTGCTTACCCATATCAGTAATCCAGATGGCTATTCTCTCATAGAAGAAGTTCAGTATCATGATGATGACAAAATTGAGGCACGAGGCGGTGACTGAGGTTGCCAGCTGAGGGGTGAGCAGCCCGCTGATGGGCTGCAAGGTCTGGGTGTTCTCCATGAGGCTGGCGAAGGCTGCGTACACCGCCAGGCGGTACACGATGACAGCTATCATGCTGGCGATGATCAGGGACACCTGGGAGAGGGGCAGAGAGGTGAGATGCAGCTGCAGCTCAGCACAGCTGCGTGCACAGAGCTTTGGAAACAAGATGCACGCCAAGGTGCTTCGTATCTGTCAAACTGTGCCCTCTGTGGGTATCAGTTCAGCGGCAAACGCAAAGCACGCAGGCAAGAGCCTTTGTTGAGTCAGGTACGTTAAAACCAACAAAATTATTCTGCTAACACAGGAAAAGCAAACAAATACCAATATTTGAAAAAAAAAAGACCAAAAAAACAAACCAGAAGAACACAGACTCACAGAAACGGAGGTGGAGGGGACAAGTTAGATTAAACTGTCAGCAACTCTGACCTGCGTTAAAGCAACGGTTCAAAAAGATGCTCACCCAGAACAACACTGTAGTTCCTGAGATGCAGAACCGCACAGCCTGGCTGGTTAAAGGCAAATAAGGCTCCATCTCCTGAAAAAGTCAAGTAGAGCACAGTTCAGCTTATTCCAACATCTTGTTCCAACATCAAGCGGTACACACAGAGCTCTCATCAGCTGCGTGGAAGTGCCCACGTCCAAGGAGTGCCACTCAGAACGCCCCCCACTCTCCAAAACAGCAGACAGGACATGTTTTTGAATGTGCTGGGCCAGGGGGGGTGACAAGATCAGGACAGAAGTGGCCATAAAACTGCTAAAAGTAAAGACAGTACCTGGGAAGAATGGTTAAACCTCTGCAAAATCAATCAGCAGCTGAAGGAAAAAGACCAACTTCATGAACTATTACTTGTAATGCCAAGTCATCTGCCATACAGCTCTGAGTCCAAAACTCAACTCAAGGTTAATAAATTCTTCATGCTGAGGATTTGTATGTGCCAGTCAGAGAGTGCTTCCCTCCACTCCCTCAATTTTATTGGTTTTTCGCTTGAAGAATTGCCTGCTAACATAGCTGCCAAGCACCAGGCAACTGGGTCTTATTCATGCCAGTATCCCCATATAATACATGTGTAAAGTTTTTGCTACCTATCCTAATTCCTAAAATATCAAATTACATGTGTTATGAATGGATCATTCAAGAACTAATGTGAGTGGAAGGTGATTTATTAAAAAAAAAAACAAACCTGAATTTTATAAATCTTTGGGACAAGGCACTGTGGAAAGCTTACATATATTCTATCCCAAGAGCAAATATTTCACATATTCTAGGCTATTCAACAAGTTTTATACTGTAGGAGTGAAATGTAGGCAGTAAAGTGCATTGACAGAGCCTGTGTTTGAATCGAATGCTTCATTATTTATGTCAATTAGAATTCTCTTGCAATCAGCAAAACCAGATCTTCGCTATGATCTAGTTGGATAGTTTACCATCATAAGCAAATGAGTTGTTATTCAAAACCTCCAGATGGGCCATTTTGGTTTCAATGCACCTAGAACTTTGAATCCCGGACAGGACTGAGGAGGAAGCAATTTTCTGAGAGAAGCAAAGCCAGCTGTGGGACACAATAAAGTCACTGCCCCGTAACCACAAAACCATTTCAGTCTGCAGAATTAACTTATTTGAAAGCACTGCCATTTCACGTGCTCAGTGTTGCACATGTTGTGATGAAAGAACGTTACACCACAGAGTGGCAACCTTGTGCAAGTTACCCTGTTAGTGGGTACTGATAAGGATCACTGCTAAACCCTGCTGCAAAAAGGCTTCTGAAAAACCACCAGGACAATAAATTGATGTGTCACAGAATAAGGCTTGTAAAGCCAGCACAGTAACACCTAAAATCACAGTGCATGGTTATCCAAGAGCTCTGTGCAATGTGTGCACTGTACTAGTTACAAGTACAACAGCAGAACTGATGCTGCACATGTGGAAGGGGAAAAACTCTCATGAGAAATAAGATCAGTGTATGTGTTTCTTATTAATTAGGGAGAGAAACCCTGAAAGTCAGGGTTACTGTTCACATGACAGTGATCCTTCCCTTGTTCTGGTTAAGCTTCTATTTCTTTTCTGAAGACTTCGTTATCTAAGAATACTTAGTCCTAATGCCAATAAGCTATTTACATGCAATTCTATGAAAGATGATTTAAAATTACATCAAATTGAGGTGGTAGGTGTCGTATGGGAATGCAACCAGCTGATCCCTACGTTTGTCAAATACTCCTACCTAAACTAAATTTAAATGAAAACAATTACAGAATCACAGAATCAACCAGGTCAGAAAAGACCTCTGAGATCGTTCAACCCATGACCCAACACCACCTTGTCTACTAGACCACGGCACTCAGTGCCACATCCAGCCTTTTCTTAAACACCTCCAGGGATTGCGAATCCACCACCTCCCTGGGCAGCCCATTCCAATGTCTGATCACTCTCTGTGTAAAGAATTTCTTCCCAATGTCCAACCTAAACCTCCCCTGGCACAGCTGTGAAGTTAAGTATTTATACAGAGTGTGTTAAATCGTGTCATTAATTGTATCTCAATTGGATTTCAGAGACAGGAGTTCAGCAACCTTCACCTCTCCAGTGTTCCCTGAGCAGAGTGGTTGTGTGTCAGAACCAAAACCACAGCTAGACCCACTTATCTACCTTTAGATCCAGGCAACTACTTCTTCCTATGTTGTGCAGGGATGAGAAAGAGTGCTTTTAAAGGCAAGAAGATTTCAGAGACTGCTGCTCTGAAACGTGAAAGGACGCTGCAAAGATGGTGCCAAAGCCCCGAACTTTGCCTTTGTTTTCCTGATTTTAACACACCAATTTCCACACGATGAAACTCTCGGCGTACAACTGAAGTTGCACGAGTGTCAGCCCAGCACGCTCGTTACCTGAGTGACAGGGTTCCTCTTCTTTTGGGTGCATTTTGCCTCGTACTCAGGCCTCAGCTGGAGTTGCTGCTGCTCCTCTTCAAAATCAACCAAATCCCACTCGTATTTCAGTCTGGCTTGCCGCCTCTTCCAAAACTCCAAGAAAAGTGTAACTACGATTTGCAAATTGGTTCAAATACGGTTAAGGAAGAAATGAGGAAGTTCATGAACCAAGTTCACCTTAACTTCTGCACTGGCTTCTGTTCTGTGGTTTATTATTTATCCTCACAGTGCAACCCATCTATTTTTACCGGCTGCCTATTGGGGTTCACAGCTGAGATCATAATATGAACCCAGAGATTTATTAGCTAATTGAATTCCGGAGGCGGATGACAAGGAAGATGCCAAGATATACAGGTATTTCCATAGTTATGAGGGCCATGTTTAACTGTAGTTTAACTACTTTTCATATGCAAAAAAGTGACATGGAATTAACAAAAGAACCTGATAACACAGATAATTGCTTATGTATAAACCTGCAACACACAAACAACTATTACAAATAAGCAGCGTGGCTATTCAAGTTCAAACATTTCTGTTGCTTTCTGATGCTTATTTGATACCACTGTCATTTTAAAGACAGTGAAAGTCTAATGTTTTTCATACAATCAAGACTTAGGCTGGCTTAAGAATTTTTTTAAGACACTAGAGGGAACTGATTTTATATCTAAACAACAATAAAGTTTATAATGCTATATAACACTTTAGGAACCCCGTATAAACTACTTCAAAATGTAAACATTTCATAATCTGATTGTTCTTATTTGACCTAGGGAGGCTTCATGGTTAATACAAACACAGGAAAGCTTATCTTCTGCAGTTCTAAACCCTTTGGCTGGTACTTCCTGAATGACTCATCCATGTCACACAAATGCTAGTGCTTAAAAAAACAAGACAAGTTTGGTACAGCAGCCCTACAATATCACCCTATTAGATTTTTTTTTTTTTAATTCAATATGAAAAAAAATTAGTGGTGAGGTCCTTTGGTAACAAATAAACAGATTTGCTGCTAGCACAGAGATCTTTGTGAGCTAATGAAATACCTTCGGGTTTTTTAATTCCTCTGCGTTTCTCTCAATTCCCCTGCAACTTAAAACTTATTTTTACTCTTTCATCACTTCTGCATCTGAGGCAGGGTACTGAAGTGAAGCCACTATTCCCCTTCCTCCCACTTCCAGTGCCCCTCAGCAGCTTGGCCACGATCTTACTGCTCGCCATAAAACTTAGGAAACGTACTCACCCCATATGCCCATGAAAATGGCAAAAAAAAGAGTTGCCACGTTGTCAAACAAATGGGAATACTGCAACGGAATGCCCAGGAACAGGTCAGTACCAAAACAGCTTTCAGGATGAACAAAAACAACAACTGGCTGCAGAAGCAGACACAGACCTGTGAGGACTCGCAGGTGGTGTTCAGCCTCCAGTACTCGCACTCCTGGTCACAAAGAGGGCACATGATGATCTCTCCTCCAATTGCAGGGTCACAGATTTCTTTGCTGGGGAGGAAAACATTGTAAAGTATCTGTTTCTGTAGCATCTTAAGAGCTGTTAGGTGAAATTCGTTTAAAAATTAAATAAAAGTTAAGAGCTCCACTTGTTCAAAGCTCAGGATTTGCAGTTTCACAGTAAAGATGCCACATCTTGCCACGTTCCCTGGTGTTAACCTGTGGTTGGTCATTTATTCTTACTAATTAACAGTCAAAAGTTCTGTATTAGTGGCCCACCACCTTTTCAATCAATAAAGACAGCTGAAGAACAAATTTTTTTTTTAATTTAACAAGCCTTAAAAGCTTGTTATCTGTTGGGATATTTTTGCAAGAACTAAATTGTCTCGTGGCTTAACTCTGCCCAGGAGATTTTCAACGTTGCACTCACCTGCTCATATTTTCATCCATTGTAAACAAGCCATAAAGAAAACAGATTAAGCCAACAACTGCTGCAAGGAATAACATCTCAGTGTAAAACCCCAGCCAGGCAAAATAGATTCCAATCTTCTCACCATAGTACTTCCTGAATACAAAAAAAAAAAGGCAATTAACAAGAATAAAAAGCAAAATTTAAAACTGCAATAGAGCAATCTGGCCAGAGTAAAAATGAAACACTTGGCAAAATTCTCTTTTAACAGAAGAGTAAATAATGCAATGATGCACAGTGGAAAAACGAGATTTGAAGCTGGCCATGAGAAGTTACTCAAGCTGAACGAGCAAGCTGAATGAACAGGTTTTACGGCCTCTTTCATCCCTTTTTTCCTCCCAAGCAGAAGCTCCAGCTTTAAAATCACTCTTTCTCTTTCCCACGGGATAATGCAAATGAAGATTTACTTTCTGATTTTTCCTGGGAGCTACACAGGTGAAATTGGGCACATCAGTTCTGATCCTATGGTTAGGACAAATGGATAATCCACAGAAACACAACCACTTGTGTCACAAATGGGGAACTGTAACCTGTGAACAAAGTAACATTTTGTTGTCTAGGATGGGCTGAAACAAAGAGATCTTGGGTAAGGTGAGTTTAAATTTGGGGTTACAACTGAGTGTCAAGCTTCCAAACTGCTTTCGCCAGTGTTTCTGAAGTCTGTGCTGAAATTTCAAAGTTTCAAATTGCCCTTTAAAAATTCCTGTAGGCATCGATTACAAAATCCAGCACTGGCTAGATGGGAAGGGGTTTGACTTGAGATGAAGCATTTTTCCAGCTGCTGGCGGGAAGCTGTGCCGTGTCCCTCCAAGGACTAGTGCCCAGTTAATACCCTGCTCCCATCAGACCTTAGAAGTGCTAAAAATTACCCAGCAGCACCCAGCTACAAATGAACAGACGCTGTGCTGCAGTGAAAAACCAGGGGAAACACAAGAAACCACTTCACCTGATGAGGTCCAAAGGCTGCTCTTTGTAGAAGCGCAGGAAACGCGCCCACTCCATGTAGAGCGTGTACCTCTCGTTGTCACAGTTGGGATCATTTGCCTTCTTCCAGTACTGGCACTGTGAGCAAATCAGAGCAAAGGCAAAACACCTCATGGACAGACTCAAGAAACACCCCATTGGAAGAAACAAACACTGATGATGATGATGCACCCCCCCTCCCTCAATACGGTTTGTCATTACCACGTATCTGCCTTCCAAATGCTAAAGAAAACCTTGGAACTTCATCACCCTCCCAGAAACCAAACAGCACAATGTAACCTCAGCTTCTGACAGCTTCTGTAACTTCACTCTGTGCCCCAGAACTCTGCCTTCAGAAATATTTGCCTCTGCCAAACCTTCAGTTTGTGATGATCTTGCTTTTCCTTTTTTTTTTTTTTTCCCCGAATGTTTCTCGACCACCGAGAAAAGCAGGAAAATCAGTTTCTAACTAGAAATCAAGAGGTTTAAACAACCTGAAGTTTGCATTTTGAAAATCTTTTAAAAGGTTAAATAAGTATTTTTAGACAAAGATTTGTGAGTCTGTCTCACAAGTTTTGGAATTTTTTTTTCACGTGATTTTTTTAGCATTTAAGGTTGGTTGTAGTTGTATAGAAGAGATTCTTGCTTTTTATTATGGTAGTCCCAACAGGATAAATTCCTTCCCAGCCTAGACTACCCTTCTACAGCATAGATCCCGATCAGCTAAACTTTCCCACTGATAACCTAAGGAATGTCCATTCACTCATTTATTTTTATTTTTATTTTTTAAGGAAAGAAAAAATATTTTCAAACCTTTAAAAATATAAATCTATACAAAGTAACTAAAAATGCCTTATGGTAGAATTCAGAGATATCAATAAGCAATTTAAGTTCACTGAAGCATTGTGACATCTGAAATAACTACTAAAAACATGCAGAGAATTTAGAATTTAAGCAACAAATTAAACACAACACTCAGAAGGAAAAAAAAAAATTTAAAAGTCTCTAAAGAAATGATGTGACTGACATATGGATATACCCTAAAAACTGAGGATGAAGCATTTCAGCACATAAAAGCCAAATAGCAGGGCTGGTAGATAAGTCTCGTGTATTATTAAACAGAATCAATGGGACAAATGGAAGGGTTTGAATACGTTTTCATATCTGCTGGAAACAGCAAATTCACAGCAGGAAAAAAAAGAGTGAAAACACTGGGAAATGCTCCAGGGAGCAGAAAGCTAAAATACTTACATCGTGAAGAGGATATGCAGCTGTATAGGTGCCATTGTTCAGCAGCCTCTTAATCCCAAACTTCTTCTTCCCTTCTTCTGTCCCGTAAGGGCAACGTGTGAGGATATAATTAACCTGAGATTCAAACACAGGGGTTTCAGAACTCTCCCATTTTAAAGCCATTTAATGGAACAATATGCAAAAGCAGGAGGCATTTCTTCAGAAGGACACTGAGGGCACAGTGTCTGCCTTACAGACACCCAGAAGATCCGCTCCAACAAATACGTAACAGATTCCTAAAAAAGACACGCAGGCACCCAGGCTACCACAGACACCAGAGTTTCCAGAGGAAACTGCAGGCAAATGGGAGCAGCCAAGCCTGACATACTCACTATTCTGTTTCTCATGGACGGCGAGAAGAAAGTGCTCTCGTCGTTTATGAGGTACAGCTCCTGCTTGTCCTTGCTGAACGGGGCCGTGAAGTAATCGGGCTCGGGGTGCATCACCTTCTCGGGCAGCCTGAGTGGGAAAAGCATGCAGTCCAGGGGGTTCTCCACCGTGGAGGGAATGTCATTTTCCTTGATGGGGACCTTGATGTTCAGCACTTCGGCGTACGTGATCAGGACCTCCCACGGCGCGTGGATCTTCACGAAGAAGATCTTGCCGTCTTCAGATTCCTGCCCCCGGGGAAGGTTAAATCAGACATCAGGCCGTGTCTTATTGCAAGATTTATGGGGATAGGTTTTTTTATGTACACAGTTTATTGACTTTTACATATTTTTGAAAGTTAAAAAAAAAAAAAAAAAAAAAGGGAGGAGGGAATAGGGGAACTTCTTTTATATATATATTTTTAATTGGAAAGCTTATCTGAGTGGTTGTCCGTTCATAAAAATAATCTTTGCCCTACTGAAAGCTCACAGCGGCTTTTCAAACTATATTAATCTCATACACTGAGGCCTGAAAATTGTCATTGTACTGAATGCACTGGAAACACGGGGAATATTCTTATCACAGGCCTCACCCAACAGTGCGTGTTCTTTCAGTGTTCCTCTGCACACACAGCAAAAAATGGTAATCAGAAGGCACTTTTAACATATTGCTCAATGAATCCCCATCTGTGGATGTTAGAGAGTCTGAACTTCATCAAGAGTTACTTGACCCCACCCAGCCTCTGGCACACTGACTGCATCAGTCAAAATCCCGTGTTCTCCAGTTGTTAAACCAAACAGTAACACTAATCAAACATCCTCAAGCTGTTTCATCCTTTCCTCATAATTACAACATCCAGTGGGCATAACTAACCCATTCACCAACCTTCCAAACTTATTACTCATTGTTAGGCAGGACTAAATGTAGCTGTGAGCATACTTCCCATTTAAGTGGGTTTAAATCAAATCACAGCTATTTTGGAACCACTTTCTTTTCGTTATGAAATCAAAAGCCATCACTTCCTCTTGAATCAAAATCATTCCACTTCCACAATTCTTATGAATGTATCTAGAAAAAGGACTCAAATAAACATATTACTCTTGTCCCACCTAAATTAGTCACGCTCCACTGAAATCCACCAGCACAATTTATATTTTTTCTCAAAGAAACAAAGTGGTTTATTAATTTGCAGGTCTATTTCTTTAGTTCTAATTTTCTTTTTTTTACCTTCTTGTCTTCTGTTTCTAGTTCCAAACCTGCTTTTTGCAGATTGCTCTCAAATTCTTTTCTTCTTTCCTAGAGAGAAACAAACACACTTGAGTAACTGACGGAGTCGTCAGCAACTAACTAATCACTTACTGATGTCTCACTGAGTTCCAGCTTCTCCCAACTGCCCTGATGACAATCCCTTAATGCTGTGTGACCTGCTAAAAGCAATCAGACAAAAACCAGCTGATGCACACCAGGCCACTTCCGAGTGCAGGCCAGCTTGGTGATGGCAACACATCGGGAACTGCAACAGGAAAACTACCGGGTAGGAAAAGGCTTGCTCTGGTTAATCAGAGAAGGAACTGATGTCTTGTGTTTTGAGCCCTCCTGACTCTTCAGGAGGCTGGTATGTGGGGTGTATTACTGCTCAAGCTGAAGCCACGTTGCTCAGAGAATGTCCATCAAAACCAGATGGAAAATAAAATCCTGGAAGCGCGTGGAAGCCCAACTGCTCACAGCCTCATCTATTTATCTATTTACCTGTTTTACAATTATGCCTGATATAGATGGTCAAGTACCGATTGCAGACAATTCAAACAGCACTTCACAAACACCACTGTAAAACCAGATAAGACCAACAAATCACCACGTGTGACCTCCCGTGTGCTTAGCTTGCATAAAGTCCCCGTGGACTTCAGCAGAGATAAACAAACCTGCCTGTGGCAGTGAGGGGTGGCTGCGTGACCTCTGTGAGCTTGGGGTCCTCCTGGAACTCTTTATTTTGCCAAGTAATTCCTAGGTGGTGCCTTTAGGGAAGAACATTTTCTTCCCCTCCTTCTCTGTGTAATTTTTGCTCCTATAGGGAGACTGCACTCATTTCCTTTTAATTATATAAAATTTGCTGTCAAGAAGGACCGTCAGAATAACCAAAAAGGTAAGCCAACTATCTGAGCCCTGTCCTCTTTAGAATGCACAAGCTGGACCACGAATTTATTTTTGGCTAAAACCTGCAATGCTGCCTGATGTTTTTTCTATTGAAGGGTCTTAAATGACATTTTTCAAACATACTTAAAAAATGCAAACCACCACAGCTGTCAGCCAATTTCCTTTCCCTGCATGTCTGTGAGCAGCAGTCTGCCCTTTTTTACATTTCAGCGTGCATAAACTACTCAGACCAATGAATACAGACTGAAGAAAAGCTTTCACAGCCCTCAAATGTACCTAAAGATATATTGATATATGTTAGTGGCCTTTCATTTTTACTTGTCGCATCTGATTTTGCCAAATATTATTAGATATTAAATTAGACACTTGACTATATAAACTTGCAAATGTGCTGACTCCTCCATTCTAGCACATGCTGGGGGCAAATGCACTATTTTTTAATTAATCTATCCCACTAAACTTCCTACACGCACCTGTATAAACATCAGAGAGCTCTGTTCTGCTGACCTAATAATCAAATAGAGAACAATGCAACTAAAAGGTGATTTAAGAGTGCATGTTAAAGTGCTACAGAGACATCTCAGCCTGGTATCCAAAGCTGTGTGCTACTCTGGGTTACATTTGCTGCAAACAAAGGATAGTAGTGAGTGTTCTTTTCCCAGCAACCACTGGAAGAAAGCCAAGCGAGTCAGCTCAGAGGGTCCTCTGCCACCAGACAGCTCCTCTCCAGCTCAAGGAACAGACAGTGCCAAATGGTCTGGCCTCTTACTTATCTTTCTTATTTTTCCTTACTATACACTTGGTGTGACAAACTACAGTGCTCTAATAGAAATTATTCTCTTTTTATCACCTTGACCTCTTCCCGTAAGCCCCTTTCTCTGAAACCCCTGCAACGCACTGAGCTTTCCAGTCACTGAAAACAACCATTTTTAAAAGGAAATCAGTCTGCTGCTATTGCCAAAAAGAAACCCCAAAAACAACATACCCTTGGGCCAGTGCTGGTTGGTTTTACTGTGTACTTGTTGGGATTTTTTAAGTTCCCTGCTCCAAACCTAAAAAGCTGTACCTGGTGCATGTATTTTTGCATCTGCTATAGATGCCACTTTGCAGTCACAGAGCGAAGCTCTGTAAGTCATCCCATTAATGAAGACCAGAGCACAGTTCTTAAGCTTCTCCCAAGCATCTGTAAAGCACTGAAATCACATTTTCTGAGACCACTGTGGCCTGGGTAGGAGGGAGGCCGGTAGAGCATTCACCTCTGCAAACACCGCTGTGGATATCTCACATGGTGGGGGATGAGCACAGAGTAACTTTATCACCTAACACGTGCTGGGCTGTAAGGAACCAATCCTGCTAAGATTAACAAAGCAAGATCCAAAGTCCAGCAGAACTAAACAGCCCAGTGCAGATATAACACTGCATGATCTGTGGAAGAGAGACAACTACCATAAATCTGTTTGTGGTGGTACTGCCTGTCACAACAGTCAAGGGACAGGAGATTAAAGTAATTTTAAGTTTACAACATAATCAACTTAATCAAACTCCTCTTGCTTGCTTTTCCTCTTCCTTTAGGCAGGGAGCACCAAGCTCACCAAAGCCTTTCATGCATCAGGCTTCTCAGGCTTATTCTATCTGCAGTCAGGTGTAGGATACTGGGAAGCAAATATGGCCTGGGGGAACATTTACATGCTACTGGTAAAGTGTACGAAAAGCCTGCTCATAGCTGTATCCTAAAGGACACAGTATGGGATCAGTCTGAGCTCAGGCTACCCACACAGCTCCCTCGGAAGAAAATTTCAGATGAGATGGAGCCTGTTTAGGAAAGGCCTCTTGTCATCTCATCCACCCAGATCCACGAGAGCAGGAGGTCGACAGCACAGATAAATGGCCCTCCTGAACTCCAGTGCCTGACCACCCTCTGGGTGAAAAACCTTTAGTTCCCAACCTAAACCTCCCCTGACTCCGCTTCATGCCATTTCCTCAAGCCCTGGCACAGGTCACAAGAGTGAAGAGATCAGATCGGTATCTGCCCCTCCTCTTCCCCTCATAAGCAAGTTGTAGATTGCGATGAGATCTTCCCTCAGTCTCCTCTTCTCCAGCCACTCCCCCTATAGTTTCCCCTCCAGACCCTTCATCCTTGTGGCCTCCTTTGGACACTCTCTAATAGCTCCATGTCTTTCTCATATTGTGGTGCCCAAACCTGCACAAAATATTCCAGAAGAGGCCGCCCCAGTGCGGGGCAGAGCAGGAAAATCCCCTCCCTCACCCAGCTGCTGATGCTTTACCTAACAAACCCCAGGACACGGTCCTCCTGGCTGCCAGGACACTGCTGACCCACTGGACTTGATCCTTGTGGGTCCCTTCCAGCTCAGGATATTCCATGATTCCTTCTGCAAGTACCAGCCAAGCTGCTGTGAAGCAGCTCAGATCCCTGAGTCTCTAATGCTCAGGGGTTCTTGTGAAGGAATACACATAGGGACAATAAAGATCATGTCCTGGTTATTAGTAATTTGTTAGATATTTTATATATTTTTTTTTATGTTCACATACATCTCATAGTGAGTAAAATATTTCCGCTTATGTGCTGAAGGTTTTAAGGAAAAATATAAAGTACTGTCTCACAAAAATGTAATCCTAATTTTTGTTTAGAGGAGTCTGTGGCTTGGATTTAGAAGGCAAGTTCAAAACAGCGTTGAAGCTGGAACGTGTCTGGGAACATCAAAGAAGTTAATGCAGTTGTTCTCCATGAAACTGAGGGAGATGAACAGACCATCTCTTACATCTGTATTAGGGCTATGTTGAAGCACACAAAGCAGTCATTCATCCCCATTCGTAGAAGTGCAGAATAAAGCTGTTTCCTTGAGACAAGGAAACAAAACCCTTTGTCACCGCTGTTATTCTCTTTGTATGAGTGCTCCTATTCTTGGCTGTTCCATTTTGCTGTATCACTGTGCCACAGTAAAAGAAATCCACATTCCTGTGATGACTCTGTAATGCCAAATACAGTATATGGCAGATGAATTCCAGGGGCTGCAGTGCACCAATATTTAAATCTGGCTCCCACAAAGACAACAGCACTTGTATGCTAAGAACTCTGCATTAATTTACAGGCATTCTAATTGCATAAAGGTCTATGCTGAACACAAATACAGGGCAAACGCAGTTTCCCCAGGAACTGTGTAGAAACACTGATATCTCCATGCCTGTTTGTCCAGTGACTGCAGAGCTAATCTACAGGGCCACTGACCAAACCCCTTCCTCCATGGGGCCACAAACTCTTTTCCAAGTAACAGACATATAAAAGAATTAGATCTCACAAAACTTAACGTGGATGTTTTGGTCTTTTGCAAGACGGAGATGTTTCTTCCCCAGCAAGTGCATTTTTACCTCAGAGAGGAAACACAGTATTAGCTACAAACTCTTGGGCTCCTCCCCACGTGAATCCTTCAGTCAATGATGACACCCCTGTATGTGGCCTCTGGCCTGGCAAGGATTCCTGCTACCTCCAAATGATCCATAAAGCAACGAGAAGGAAACTGCTGCACACAATATGACCATCTGGTTTACTTTCCTTCCTACTTGAATCATTACCTAAATAGTCTCAATTTCTTTCCTCATCTTAAATAATTTGAGGATGACTAATGGAAAAGTCTATTTTAAGAGTTGCCTTGACAAATTCTGCATGGATATATTTTTTTCCCCCCCTCTCCACACTGAGTGATTTTCTCTTCTTCCTTTTTTTGAAATGCATTTTGCTCCACGGGAGAAGAAGGAATGCAGCGAGGATTACAGCCTGACAGAGGGTTTGAGTTTGAAAAGGTTTTATGCGTCTGTAGATAAACCTATGGTACCATAGCTATAAAATAACCCTGGTCTCCCAAGAAAATCTCTGGAATGTGGCTCACTGAGCAGAGCTGACAGGGAAAAGCATCAAAAAGAGACTATGACAGAAATTCCCAAGTTTCTTAAGGTAATGAGTAAGACGAGGGGCTCTGCTCTACACTGGGTCATATTTGGATGCAAGTTTAGGCAGCATAAGTCCTTAATGGAAACAATATTTACTTCATAAAGAAATGAAAGCAATAGGCCACTTTTTTAACAGTTCAATCTTGCAGTTTTTTTGTTCAAAGGAAATTAGAATTCTTACTATGAAAAAAAAAATGAAAAGAGATAGAAGATTACTGTCCTTTACTTCACAGACCTTTAGTTTTAAGCATGATTTTATCGTAAGCATTAGTGTAATAAGTTTTTTTTCAGATACCCTTATCTTTCAGAATAACATGACTGCACGAGAATGAAGTTTTTTTGGTGTTTCTCTCTTTTTAATTTTTTTAAACCATGAATAAACTTTGGAGTTGTACATTGGAGAGACCAATTTTTAAATGTAAACTCTCATGACTCAGAAAGAAGGCAGGAAATAAAGAGTTAAAAAAACCTCTTAAAATCCATCTTTCTTTTTTTTATTTATTTTTTAAATGTTGTGCTTTATAAGAAGATTTTTTTTTGTCTTGACTGCCTCTCATAGTACTGGATTTTTTATACAGCTTGAATTTACATGTTTAGCCAAGTTAGGCCACAAGTGTCAGAGTGAGCATGGAACAAACAGGTGTCATTCAGGCAACTGGTTCTTGCTGGGAAGTTCAGGGATAGTCACTGGCATTTTAGAAAAAGCTGCAGTCAATGGATGGAAAAAAAAATAGTAATCTTGTTTGGATGATGCTTTGCTTACTTAGAAGAAACCTCCTACATTTAAAAGTATTTGCAGATAAAACCATTTACAGATATTTCTCCAAAGTCTCAGCTAGACTGTCAATGAAGAAGCAAAATAATTTGGATTACTTTGCTCAGTTGTTTTATATATTGCCCAGCCTAAGCAATGGAGAGTGATCAATTCAACACACAGAGTCCCAAAAACCCAATAAAATGGGGTCCTGACACACAACAGTAAATTACACAGACATTTCCATCCATAGAATGGCTTTTCACACAGCTGTAAAATTTTTAGCTAAGCCCTATTCCAGTTGAGTGTAGTGATCTGAAAGAGTTAGTAACTGATATTCAGGTTATTAGAGATAAAAATTAAGAGGATTTTCAAAATGACAAACTTACCAACTTTTTTTCCAATTCCTTACTAAAATCATCCACATAGGAGAGAACAAAATCGATTCTCCTGACACCATCCCTGAAGAAAATAGAATCTTTGCTTTGATGTCTTTTATCAATCTGTAGAAGATAAAGGCATATGAATAAAAAAAAACAAAACACAACAAGTATATTGCTGTTTCTCTAAAATATAACAGAAGACAAAGAAGTTTCCCCACATTGCAAGAATTCTTCAGTTTCCTCATAGTTGAAGATAAACTTGGGCAAGATTTAACAGGGCTACATCCAGTTAAAATAATTTCAGGATTAACTGCGTAGGTCCACAAGCACAGTATATAATAACTGGTACAGAAAGAATAAATATATATTAGTGCATCAATACTTGTGAATAATTGAAGCAGGTGGCAAAATGTAAATTCCATGCATTTTCCTCTACATAACAAGATTCACTAAATCAACCACCACAGAGACATATGTGCCAGCAATGACTACATATAAAAACAGCACACAGACAACAGAGGAGTGACATTCCAAAGTTGAGTATTTACCTTCATGGGGGGGGGGAAAAAATACATCTAATAAAAGGTATCAATGCAACAGCATAATCAGTACTCCAACTGATCTATTAAAGGTCATGTTTTAATTTATCAGCATGCCAGAGTGTCATAGTAACAACATTTATCTTTTTTATCCATTAGGTCAGAGTAATTAATGTTAGGCAAATAAAAGACTATAACCCCACTCCCCTAAGGAAGTTAACTCATATTAGGTAATATTATTTGCAATATTAGGTAATATTACTTGTTATCATGTCAATATTCAGCTTTACCAACTTGTGTACAAGAGACATGCAGCAAAGTGCTCTCCATAGAAGTTAATAGTCTGGTCTAAACATTGAGGAATTCCAGGGAGGAAATCTGGCCTCTCTGCTGAGGAAGGCTGGTGTTTTTTAACCACACCCATCAACAAAAGTGTATTTTTATGGGGTTGAATTGGGTTTTCATTTTATTAGAGTAGGAACAAAACAGAATAATTCAGAGGGCTATGTCTCTGTCGTCTCCATCTCACGCCATGCAAGGATACGCGTGAAAAAGTTCCCTGAGAAAGCACAGAATATTTATTTGTAACTGTGAAGCTTGCTCCCAGTTAACAAAAGGCATCACACAGTGAAGCATGTTATTACTGCAGCCATCCAAGCCACTTGCAATACCATTCATCACTGCTTTACCCTGAGACGTCGCTTCAGGAACAGATTGTATCTCCTTCCACTCTGCTGGAATAACCAACAAGTAGTTAGCAGGCCCCCTGCTTCCCTCCAAGGACCACACCACCTGCCTGGAGCACATACACCCCAACTACAGTGAACTTCTGTGCCCCTTGAAGCTGGGAAAAGCCCCAAGCTCTCAGAAAAACACGAGCACCCACAAATAATCTGACCATCGTGTCTTTCCCATTCAAGGCGAAGCTGTGCTGGGATCCGTTCTGATAGCAAGTATATGCCTTAAAAGAATGACTCCTATAATGCCAGTGGCCATCATTTGGATACTTCGAGGCAGTTTTAGAAAAGGACTAAGGAAGTGTGTCTGAGTGTGGCGCAAGGGTAACACAACAAGCCCACAATGTTTCTGCTGCACTCATGTCAGGTTGGACCCGCGGGGACACAAAAAGACAAGTGGCAACCCCGTAATTCCAGAGCTGACAAAATTACAAGCAGCAACATCCACATAGTCCAGGACACATGTTCATCTTCAAGTAGGCTGAAATTAAATACAAATAACTGGAAGTTCCTATGGTGTTGTACAACTTTGTGCGTCTCCATCAGACACAGTGGTGACTCCTGGAAGCAGGTAGCAGCCTACTTGAAGCGTCCATGCACTACAGAGAATTCCTGTGCTCCCCACCCTAGCCTTCAGGGGAGCTGCAAAACCCTGTGCTGTATAAGGTAAAAGAAATTATTTCCTGAAATTGCTGCCATCCTTTCTTTGCCTGCCCTCTTCAGCAATTCTGTGAGGGTTTTCTGTGGCTTTTCTTCCCCAGAAATACTTACAGCAGATCAGTTAAAGCAGACCACTTTGCACGATTGAAGTCAGCTACCTCAGAAGATACTTTTGCTTCCAAAAGCAGTACATAACCTTGCATGATTAAGAGGCTCACAAAAACCATGGAATCCAACAGTAGAAAAGTATTTTTTCCATTCTGTTTCGAACTTGCAGGTTTGGGTTTTTCTTTGTAAATATAACTGTGACTACATGCAAACTGCAACAGTTTAGATGTTGATTTAATCAAATTAACATAGTGCATAGAACCACACTCACATCTGTATAGAATCAACAGTAATGTAATTATTCAGCATTAAAATAAGTGAACCCCAAAGTGCATTCTAACAACTTACAATGCTGGGGATTGCCCTAAAAAGGGCCACCCCAACCACTGGTTTCCATTGTGTAAGCCACAGAATCATCTACGCAAAGAAGAAATAAATCAATACATAATATTTACTTCAAAAAAAGCTCCTGCCAAAGGAGTATCCCAAATTATTTGTGTTGCATAGTTATAATTAGATTATTCAATACAATTGAAGTAATACTTTATCTTTAGTGCCATCAACATTGACTCATTCTTTAAGATGTATCAGAACCCTCAGTCATTAAAGGCCTGACTATCAATTTAAGAAGATGCAGTAGTCATTGCTGGATCTGCTTTGAGAAGGGGAATACTTATCACTTCCTTCTCCTTCTGCACACAGGACTATTTATCACGGATAGTGACAGGCCTGCTTATTAAACACATAAATTATTCCTTTCCATTTTGCTGCATTTGGATTTCACAAGTAGAACCAAGATCAGTCTTGCACACTTATGCAGGTTTGTGCATACATGTGTGCCTACAGGTTTAAAATATATGAAAAGTTCGTAATTTGCATTAGTGTTATCAGTGAATCATTAAACATTACGGATTAGTAGCAGCTCTTTACAGAACTGTGTTCAAATTAATTACCTTGGACAACCTGCAGTTATTAAATTAAGCTACACCTCATCACAGTAGATGCTCTGTAATGTGTTCCTCCTGCCATACAAGTACCAAATTAAAACTTCCCAACACAGCACAGAAAGCAAGCTGAAGCTTTTGAATAATTAATTTATACCCAATGAGGAATTACAGAAGAGAAGGGGCCCCAAGCCATACGGTGAAAAACTCCAGAAGCAACAGCCACAAGTCACAACAAGGGAAATTTCTACTGGATGTGAGGGTGTGGTTGAGTGGGAATGGGTACAAAAGGTTCCCCAGAGAGACTGCAAAATCTCCACCCCAAAAGACCACATAACCTGGTCAACCCAGGCCAGGACTGCGCAACCTGACCAAAGTTTGAAGCCAGCCTTGCCTTGAGTAGGAGGCTGGCCAAGAAGACCCTCAGAGGTCACTTCCAATCCAAGTTCATTGCAGGAGTCTACTGCAAACATTCAGCATTCACCAGAGCTTTCAAAAAGCTGAATAAATCCATCAGCTGCAGAGCAAGTTTACAAAAACCATCTGTCCAAATACTGCCCTCCTGTAGTAACTTCGCAGTCTCAGTAGTCTAATTATCTCTCTAAGAACTAAGTGACCTCACAAGTTGCACACAGATGTGCTAATTGAATGCTGTAATGGTCTGTTGTGAAAAGAGAAATTTTCTTTTCACGTGGCTACAGAAGTGCAAACTTACAGGGCTCATATGGAATTACATTAATATTTCTAACGACCCCATACTTGATAACTTCTGTCTAGACACCCAGCAGAGGCTGGACCATGTCCAACCAACCAACCAACCCTCCAAGTGCCTACCCTCGCAATCCTCACCTCAGGCACGATCCAAAGCCCTGCAGTGGGAAACCCCGACTCAAACAGGACAGGCAACAGGAGAGAGCAAGATGCAGCCAGGCTGTAAGAGCCCACGGCTCTCTCTGCCCAGACTGGTTTGGGTACGGCGTGTAAATGCTGGCTGGTGGCCTCACACTCCATTCAGAGCCATCCAGGTTCTCCAGCACTGCTGAGGAGTCCCTTGGCTGTCTCGCTCCGCAGGTGCCTCAGAGACGCTTCCCCAGGGCCAAGACAAACAGTCAGGCAGGGTGAGCTGGAGAGAGGAAAACCCAGCTGCTGGAAGTGGCACCAGCCACTGACACGGGCACAGAAAGTGCTTCAGAGACACGGCTTTGGTCTGAAGCTGAGGGACGGGGGCTGTGGTAAATGCCTCGGGCAGCGTGGGCAGCTCCCCCTCAGTGGTTTGAGGGAACCACAAATAAGTTTTGCAGGTTATACCTGAATGATTCAATCCTGTATGTTTTTACAGGACTCTGAGGGATTTCTGCTTCTGGTCATCCCCCTAACAGGAATTTTATGTCCTTACAGCTCACTCCTTACAGGCACGGAGCTTCCTCCAAATACACCCTGCTGCTGAATATCCCAGCCCTCTCCATTCCCATGCTTCAAAGACAGGGGGGAACTTGTCCTAAAGCAACACTTTTCAGATTATTATTCAGTCAGAAGAGTGCAAAGTTCCTTAATGGCCTACATTCAGAAACACCCATCCCAAATGCCCCAGACTTCAAGGTTTCCCAAGTGTCCAACCCCACGGACATGGGACTGCAAGTTCAGACCTCAGCACTGCTCCCCTTCTGCTTTTTGTATTTTGCACCTTTTTTTTTGTGGGAAGGTGGCTTAGAGAAGCACTTTTAGTAACAAAGCAGTAACCAACACTAATCTGGGGTGGAGGAACCCATTACAGCTTCATTAGAGTTACAGCACAGGGAAGCACCTCTGGCTACAAGGTTACGTTAATAACATGGAATAGTTGGTTTGTATGATCCCCATCAGCACATCAAAGAGTTGTACTGCCACAGTCCTACATTTCCAGGCAAAAAAAACCCTGCCTGAAATTAGAAAACGAAATCGATTTGTAACATTTGCTTGCTCACAGGATGGCCTCCAAACCAAATATTTATTTTATTGACTGCATACCTTTGATAATCACACA